GCAAGAAAACTCTTTACTCTGGTATCGAGTTAATTTGTGAGTTTCCCAAACAATGCTTAATCATAACCAAACCCTGTTTTTGATAGTTTCTTATTGTTTTGTTTGTTTGGCGAGTTTGCAAAAGTTTTTGAAAGGAAAGTCTGACGCGTACTTAAGTAGCTCATTTGCATAGTGCAGTTCGTGCACTTCCAAATCCGAGTCGGTGTTTTCAATTGTCAACAAATCTTGATAAAGATTTCTTTCGCTGTCTTTTGTGCTGAGATGCTGCAACAGTTTTCACCAACGCCAAAAGGCTACTAACATCATGTGTATTTCTTTAACATAGTGAAATTTTACACTGCGAAAATAAAATAGACAAGGAGTTTTGATAACTCAACCAACGAAATCGAAATCGATATTCGAGTTGATTAAAGAAAGCGTCATCGTAACTTTGCTGGTTATTTCTGCTGTATTCACAATATTTTGGGCTAAACTTTTCATATGTTCTCAAACATTTATCAACCTTAAACATACTTAAAAACTAGAGATATTATATGAGTTCGATTTACGCTTTCACACGAAAGTGCGGAACTCAAATTTGTCATGTTTTACTGACTGTACATGCATTGGCGGGCGCTCTTATTCATCGATGACAGACAATTTATTGCCCGTAAACGTTGGGCCTTGATAAAACATCAAGCGTTGCTTACAATTCAGAGGTGAAGCTCAAACTTGACATTATTTTTTTTTTACTTTTCGGTCGCGATAGACTCTGGCGAAATCCTCGCAAGCGTGTGGCAAGAGGAGGGAAACTTTGAAGTCCCGAAACGGTGGTATATCCAAATATATCCAACTGGCTTTTTTGCTGTGTTATGGAAAAGCTGTTAATCTTCAACATATGTGAAACTTAGCGTGGAGTAATGTGGAGCTCTTGTAAAAGAAGCAGCGGAACACAACTTGGTCAGTGATACAAAGCGGGACGTGACTAAATTCNGAAATTTTACACTGCGAAAATAAAATAGACAAGGAGTTTTGATAACTCAACCAACGAAATCGAAATCGTTGTTCGAGTAGATTAAAGAAAGCGTCATCGTAATTTTGCTGATTATTTCTGCTGTATTCACCTATTTTAAGCTAAGCTCTTAATATGTTCTCAAACATTTTTCAACCTTAAACATATTTAAAAAATAGAGATGTTATATGAGTTTGATGTACGTTTTCACGCGAAAGTGGGGAAGTCCAATTTGTCATGTTTCACTGACTGTACAAAACACACATCGGCAGGCGCTCTTATTCATCGACAACAGACAATTTATTGGATTTTTACACAAACAAAACTGAGCAACATCTACAGACATAAACTTTATTGTCACTTATTGATAAAACATCAAGCGTTGCTTACAATTCAGGCGGATCTCAAACTTGCAATTATTCTTTTTTTACTTTTCGGTCGTGACTGCGAAATCCTCGCAAACGTGTGGCAAGAGGAGGGAAACTTTGAAGTCCTGAAACGCTGCTATATCCTAATATATCTAACTAGTTTTTTGCTGTGTTTTGGAAAAGCTGTTAATCTTCAACATATGTGAAACTTAGAGTGGAGTAATGTGGAGCTCTTGTAAAAGAAACAGCGGAACACAACTTGGCCAGTGATATAAAGCGGCACATAACTAAATTCGACACTGTCTTACTTCACTCAAACTGGAGCAGCTTACGGCGAAAATACTGACGTCCCAGTAAAATTCCAACGGATATGAACCTATTGAGTTGTGGGCCAAAAGCACTCAAACATTTCGGGAATTTCGGAAATTTCGGACGCCATTTCCCACGCTACATCCGCAAAAATCCTCGCAGCATGTACGCACGTGTGCCGCACGGGATGGCGCAGTTTGTTCTAAAAATAGAAACATTGTCCCATATCATAGGGACAACCCCAATATATAGATTTAGGCCAGCCTAAAAGCGTAGCTCCTGGGCCGAGTTGTTCAAAGCCCGATTAAGCTAACCCAGAAAAAGGTAGAATTTTGATTTGACTTTTGTAACTTTGCGGTGAGGCTTTCTGTATATTGTTTGGCCTTCTGTTTTGAGTTTTAAGGACGGTGCCTACTAAATACAAAGGTTTTTGCGCCAGGTTAAGACCAGGCGGAAAAAGTAGATATTTGCAAGGGCTATTGGAAGAAAAATTGGGGTA